TGGGACTGCCATCTCAATGCCAGGGTAGACTTGCGAGAAGGAACGACCCCCTCGTGGACTGTCTTTTTTGGATGGAGTTGTTGAGTATCCATCCGTACGAATCGCTCAAGGCCGGATTCGTCGTGACCTGCGTTAGTGATATGGAGAATCTTCAAGGGTTGTTGTCCCGCCCTAGGCATTTCCTGGCGTCTTTAGCATTTCCTCATTGCAGGCTCGCAGAGTACCTTACGGATAGAGAGGTGCCTGACCTGGGTCTTGAACATTTGTCGAGATATCATTGATCCTAGTCTTCTTTGCTGAGAAAAGAACGCTAGACTAGGGGGTATTCTTGATGGAAGCCAAGGGTCGTTGGAGCTGTTGAGCTATGATTGGTCAGCTGAAGAGGAACAGAGGCCGAGCCAATGAGAAGAGGCGGACGGTTTGGCAGTCGAACAAGGCAGGGTCATGGTGCAACACTTACCCATGGCGCGATGGGCAAGACCCCTACCCTTCCTGGATATCAATCTACTTGTAGGGTCATGAAAGAGTACGTACCTACTCCGTTCCTGCCCCCCCCCCCCTGACCCTTCCTCCCCCGTCCTCCACTCCTCCTTCCCTCCACCCATGGATGATGGACCATGGCAGCTGCCTTACCTAAGGTAACTTCAAATGCTTTGAGATCGTGGCTTCCTTGCTCGATTCCAACGACCACAAGAGACCGCAAGTGCATGGAAAGGCCCGCATCCTCGACGGCGAACCCCCCGGTCCTCTTCATTACTCGCTTACTGCACCCCCCTCCAGAGTGCCCTCCAACACTCTCGCATCGAAGTCACAACACCAAGCAAGCCCAAAGCAACGACCATCCATCTCAACGTGGTCTGCGCTGCACTACATACACTACACTACCAGACAGACGTGACCGCTGACAACCGATGCCTACGCTGTCAGATCGCAGATCCCTCCGTCCCCGGGAGCCGCCTTGTTTGGTCTCACCTCACTCGGCGCCGCCTGCTGCCACTCCCGAGAGGAATACGCCGCTTCTGTTGCGACCTTCTGCTCCTTGGCCCTTTGCTTTCCTGTCTAACCCTAACTCTCTTTTTCGCCACCGTCTACTGATGGGAATCGAGCGTCGTGGCCGTATCGTGGGTATACTCACTCCCATGGTTCCAACAGCACAGCACACACGGCATGGCTCCATCGAATGCAAGTCGTATTACCCCGTCCTGCTGCGCCCATGGCCATGTACATCTGGGACTTCCCGGGGCTCGGCCGCCTCCATTCACTCTAGATCCTAACTCCAGGGATTCAGAGTCAGGCCATTCCAGGTCACTTGATTCCCCCGTACGATTCCCAGGGAGACTCATGGCGAGTTTTCCTATGACATCCCAAGTGTTAGTGTTGACGTCGGTCTTTCCCCGAGTAGACGTGTGTGTGTCGGTGGTCGGTTGGACGTCGGCATCTAATCTCGCGCGTGCTTGCTGCGCGGGTCCCTTGGAGTCGGACGGATATCCGCGCGTGAGCCGTGGACGATGAAGGAACGGATGGACGGAGAAAGCCATTGAGGCGTAGGCGTAGGCTTGTGTATCAAACACTTTCTCCCTTTGCGGAAAATGCGTTGCTCTTTTCTCTCTTCTTTCAGTCTTCGAGATGCTTACATCTTTGTCTATATAAAGACTCGAGCCGTGCCCGGAGTGATGTGAGATTTTACTCGTGTTAGTCACAATCAGCTCGCAGAAGCAAGATACATTGCAAACATGAAACATATTATGGCCAAGTCAGCGCCCTTCACTGTCCCTCAGGGCACCGGCGTCAAGTCGGAAACCTTCGTCGTCGTTGGGGGAGGCATCTTTGGCCTCTCGACGATTATCTGGCTCCGTAAATACAAGCCCGACTCCAGCATCATTATCATTGACCCTACCGCCCTCGCCAACCCCAAGGCAGCGTCTCACGATATCTCCAAGATTGGGAGGAATGACTACCCGAATCTGCCTTACGCGAAGCTGGCCATCGAGGCCTTGAAGGTTTGGGAGACTGACTCTTTCTGGAACCCCTTCTTCCACCAAGTCGGCATGATTCGTGCTGAGCCTCATAACAACAAGATCAAGAACCACAACGACAAGGCTCAAGATGTCCATCGCACGCTCGGCCACGAGTCTGGTGCCAGATGGATGACCCCTGACGAGGTGCGAGCCGAATGGCCAGCCTTTGCCACAGCCGACTTTGAAGGACTCGACCGGGTGAGGTACAACCCTCAGTGCGGCTGGTTCGAGGCTGCCAACGCTCTAGAAGCTGCTCGCCGGAGAGTTGTCGGTGAAGGGGCTAAGCTCATCACGGCTGAGGTCACGAGCTTGCTCTTCAACAGCGCTGGAGACAGCACCGGAGTCAGGCTGGACAACGGACACGAGGTCAAGGGCGTCGTGTTGCTCTGCACCGGTGCTCGCACCTCGTCGTTGCTCCTGGAGAGTGCCCCTGAGCGGAAGGAACTTCACGCTGGGGATAGAGTCGTTGCTACCGGCGCCGTGAGCTTCACTACAAGCGTTCAGGGGGCGCACAAGGACAAGTTTGAAGGCATTCCCGTGCTCAAGAACCGTCTTCTCTCGGTCAAAGGTGAGTCACTTCTACTGTTTTACAAGAACAGATATTGACAAGAGAGTAGGCGAGTCTATGTCTATGACCCCGGATGGAACACTCAAGTTCAACTGTGATATGGCTTTCACATATCACCAGCTCCACGCCATGACCGGCAAGAACATGTCGCTGGCACCGTCGTCTCCAAGCCTCACTGAATGGACTGAAGACGGAGTTCCAGAGCGTCTCAAGGAACAAGCTCGCAAGACGCTCAAAGGCCTTTACGGGAACGAGATGGAGGGCAAAGTGATTGAAAAGTATCGCGTCTGCTGGTAAGTCATTTCGTTTGCCGTCGTATCAACGTCAAACTCGGCCCGAGATATGCTTACACAGCCACACCCAATAGGGACGCGACCACGCCTGGGCACGACTTTCTTATTTCCCCTCATTCCCGCTGCAAGAACCTATACGTCGCGACGGGCGGCTCGTTCCACGCCTGGAAGTTCTTCCCCGTCATTGGCGAGTACGTCGTCAGGATGATGCACGGCGAGCTGGAGCCTGAGTACGCCGACATATGGGCCTGGGACCGTAAGCCTGGGGGACAGGTCGCCAATGCCACGTATGATATTGAGGGGGATTTGGGGGAGTGGATGAAGGGCGACAAGGTCGAGTGCTAGATTCACTTGGCTTGGCTTTGGGGTTTGACTGCCCAGACAGACGGGTTGACTGATGATGACGATGTTGATGATGGTAGTGGTGGTGATGGATACATACATGCATTGCTGGCGTTATTAGACGAGGTGCATCCTGTGCACGGGGGAAAGGGGGTGGTGATGGGAAACCGCATTGGTATTCTTGCATCCGACACAGGCATCCGACATATGGCATAACGCATGGGGAGCATCATGATCAGGATTACATCTAGGGTATCATAGGCAGGCAGTAACAATGCGCGTTGTTGTTTGGTTCTTCTTGTCTTATTGATGGAGGTAGTGCTGTAGAGGTGTCAGTACACGAATCCCGGGCCGCCTCGAGCACACTATGCGTATAGCTTATTGCCCAGTATCGGCATCCCGAGCCGAAGGGTGATGAATCTATGCCGAGGTGCAGTGGCCAAAGGTTTCGTATGTGCCGAGGGGAAGGGGGGTGAGGCGAGGTGGTTAAGTCACTCTGCCTCTTTCTTCTGTTTGAAGGGTGCGTGGCATGCCGATGGCTAAGGGTAGGTCCAGCTTTCGCATGTCAGAAACAACAACCGAACGCCTTTTTGTGTCCCAGTGGCTCGGTTGGTTCGTGCCCAGGCCAAGTCGTGCCGTTACTATACCTACGATAACCCTGCTTGACGTACTGGGGGACACAGATACGTCAGCCGCCTTATGTAATTGGACCGCTTAGAATGCTTCCTTGTGCTGGTGGTGTTGTTGGTGTTTTAAACTTGCATTTTGCCTGCCCGGAAAAGTGGTAGGTAGATCACGATGTAATTGTCAGGGATTTTGGGGGGGGAGGGAGAAGGGCTGGGCGTAGGGTGCGTTTTTTGGTTTCTTTTTGGTAAACTGATCGTATGATACGGAAGCGGGAGCAGACCACCTTTGCGTTTATGATTTGCATCAACAGGGACTGTAAATTCCCATGGCAGAAAGTCTGGAGCATCCAGATCTTCATCTGGGCCGCGGGGTGCAGTTCGGTAGTTGAATTAGGTGAGGTTAAGGTAAGGTGACCTTGGGGTACAGTTCAAGTCCGGGTAGTGTGAATTACCTTGGCACTTTATGTTAGGGATGGGAAGGTGCGGGATCATGTACTGGAAAAGGGATATGTCTCAGCAGATCCAATGCAGTGGAATAGTTATTGGTGTTTCTCTTCTTGTGTGGGCGGTGTACCCCAGCTTGGCAGCTTCGCTCAATACGTGAGGTGATGGCTAATACCCGCTGCGGTGGTTGCAAAACTACGGTAGTCTAGAATCGTAACCTCGACACGTGTTGTTTACAAGTCGTGTCAGCGTTTCGTGTCTTAAGATTTGGAGATGCCATACATCCTTGCCATCCCTCATTCCAGGATAGCTCATTGAGCTTGAGTATAACTGAAATAACCACCTGCAGCATCGTGGAGATTGATATTTGAACAACTTGGACTATCCAGTGCGTGGCAAATTTCGATATGAGTGAGATGTGACGCAAAATGAGAAAGGATAGAATTTGAAGCACCCGTGAAGTGCCCATGCTGTTTTTGGTTTTGAGCCTCGTCTTTATACCTAGTAACCCGCCAAATCCAAGGATATACCAATGTATATACATACCGTGACATGTAATGTCATTTTCTCGCTTCTCTCATTTTCCTTCTCTTCTTGGTGCGACTCTCCAATAACTGACTAGCCGCATCGGCCCGATGGCTAAGTATGTTCTTTTTGCAACCTCAAAGTGGCTTTTTTGGCCCTCTCTTGAGCGGCCTAGGTCTTCAACTCCTCCTCGGTCCTTCGTGCCATTTCGCGCCTTTACTGAACCCCCAGCTGACGGGAATTTGCTAGAACCTACCAGTAGGCAGTGACTCAACCTTTCACGAAGCCGATTCCACCGGGGGTCCGCCGGACCGGAACCGACTACGAAAACGACAAACCGACCCGCCGACTACGACGATCCGTTCACGGCCAGCTTACCCTCCGTCTTTTCGAGGTAATTGACCAGGGCCTCGATCGTGCACACCTTGAGCCCGAACCGCCTCGCAAACTCGATGCACTGCTCGCCCCTCATCATACCGGGATCCTCATGCACAGCCTGGCCCTCGACGGGGACACCATCATCGACAATCTCGCAAATGGCCGCAGCCTCCTTCTTCCCCGCCAACCTGCAAAAGTCAACCGCAGCCTCGGTGTGGCCCCTCCGCTCGCGCACACCGCCCTCGCGCGCGCGCAGGGGTAAGACGTGGCCGGGTCTCCGGAGGTCGTTGGGTCCCGAGGCCGGATCGGCGAGGACGCGGCAGGTCAAGGCGCGGTCGTGGGCGGAGATACCCGTGGTCACGAGCGGGTCGGCGGCGTCAACGGAGACGGCGTAGGCTGTGCCGCGGGGGTCCTCGTTTGTGGTGACCATGGGCGGGAGGTTGAGGGTTTGGAGAAGGGAGGGGGCGAGGGGCGCGCAGACGTATCCTGAGGAGTGGCGGATCATGAAGCCCATTTGGGCTGTGGTGAGGGATTCGGCTGCGATGATGAGGTCTGCTTCGTTTTCGCGGGAGGGGTCGTCTAGGACGACGAGGAATTCTCCGTTGCCTGATGTTGTTTGACGAGTCAGTGGATTGTGTCTATGACGCATTGGAAGAGGAACTCGGCGGATGCGCACGCGCGAGCGGAAGAGGGTTGCGGGAGGGCAGGTTCTGCGGAAGTTCCGGGGTGAGGATGACTTACGGAATGCCTCAATGGCGTCCGGAATGGAGTCGAACTTTGACTCGTCTATTGTTGAGGAAGGCATTGCTGCGGCTGGTGTATGGAGAGGTCGAGAGGGGTTGTTGTCGGTGGAAAGAAGAGAAGGTGAGAATGCGTGACGGAGAGGTGGTGGTTGCGGTTGCGGTCGAGGCTGAGGTTTCGCTCGTGACGGTGTGGTGGAGGTGGTGGTGGTTGTGGTGGACGGACGGGACGGAGGGGTGAGTGAGGGGGAGGGGTTGTTGCTCAATTGCAAAGGCCGATCCCCGCGCGCGCGTGTGGAAGATGGCAGAAATTAGGTGCTAGCTTGGGGTTCTGCGGGCAAAGTTCGGAGCGGGTACGGGTCTCTCTTTATCGTCTTTTTCTTTTCCTTTTCTTCAACAGGAACGCACCCGAGATTCCGTCATGCGGAAGAAGTGGAGGCAAAACGGGCGGAAGGTGATGGGGCTTTTGAATTCTGGGCCGGTTCCGGTTTATTTGATGCAGAAAGTTGGAGGCTGGGTCGATCTCTGGAATTATGTGTTCTTGAGATGATGTCCGAATTGTTCGTCAATTTAGCCAATGATGGAGTGTAGAACACCTTTAAATGTCAGACAGCTAAATACAACGTGTTCACTAGAAGACTGTAACTCGCGATGTGGAGGAATATCTTTATAAATGTGACATGTCGTCGGCCGGGGCAAGGACTACAAAGAAAAAAAAAAAAAAGGTCCCGAGGATCGCTCGGCTTTGTTGGTTGACTCATGGGATTCGCCGGCCGACTTTTGGTCTGCACCTGTCATCCTTGTGCTTGCGTGCGTGCAACTGCACTTTGGACCCTGGACAATTGTGGTGGGATGAGGAGGGGCTGAATGTGACTGGCGCCGAATGCGCCGAGGAATCGGCCAGCGGGCATGATATCTCGGGCGGCGGTCGGGCTTTCAGAGTTCTGATGCGGAGCCACCATTCCTGGTACCTCGGAGAATTCGTCCACTCGACTCATTCAAAACCATTGTTTGGAGCCATGGAGGTGAGATGCTGAGGTGTTCTACTCTCAAGCTACGACCGGTGCGACCCGACATCGTGTGGATTACATAAGGAACCGTCAGAATTACACATGGGTGCTGACAAAGCTTCCTAATAAGCACGCGCGCGGCCACGTTCTAGCCAGGCGTGCCAGGCCCCATTTCCAGGCGGATTTATCTTGCAACTTTTAGCTGACTTCCGCCAAGTTTGATAATTCTGGGCGGCTATTCCGAAGGCCTGCATTTGAGCACAAACGAACCTCTGAATCCCTTCGTGTGCTGCAGTTCCAAGTCGTTGTTCCCCCTCTGCTCTAATACCTTACCTTTCACACGTGGATGATGCTCCGGTCTTGACGGAATGTCGCACCTGCAGATTAAGACGGGAGGTGCAGAATAGACCGGGGGGAGCTGCCGATTCGAGTGCACTCTGATTCGGTGACAGCGCCAAGATCGCGAATAGATTCTCCAATTTCTCCAACCCCCGGTGCTGCCAGCACGTCACAACTCTGCTTTGTCATCAATTTTTTTTCGAAGCTCCAGATTCCCATCAAATCCTCCCGGTACATTCAAAACCCCCACACCACGATCAGTGTCCACGACCACAAATCGCCATGGCCTCTTCTCGCCCAGCGACAGCCGCCCTGGTGCGCGCGCTGCGGCGGACTGGTACAACAACTCAACCAGCCTCCCGTGCGGCTGCGACGTCACTTCCCCTCCGGACGGGTCCCGGGTCTGCAGCAACAGCTATCGCCGCCGCGCCGCTCCAGTTCCGCCGGCCGAGCTCGACCTCGTCCTCGTCCTCGACGTACTCCTCTGTCTCCCCCGAAGAAGTTGAGCACTTCAACATCCTCGCCGCCGACTGGTGGGACCCCCACGGCTCCTCGCGGCTCCTGCATCTGATGAACCCGCTCCGTCACAACTTCATCCGCGACTGCCTCGCCAGCCAACCCGATCCGTCATCCACACCCACACGCTTCCTCGACGTCGGCTGCGGCGGCGGCATCTTCGCCGAGAGCGCGGCCCGGCTCCCCGACACCACAAAAGTTACGGCCGTGGACCCCACGCCCGGCGTGCTCGCCATCGCAAAGGGCCACGCCCGCCGTGATCCGGCGCTGCGGGGCAAATTGGAGTACAAGGCCGCCACGATCGAGACGCTGCCGGTCCCGACCAAGGCAGAAGATTGTTATGATGTGGTGTCGGTGTTCGAGGTCGTCGAGCACGTGTCTTCGCCGGCTGAGTTCCTCGATCGCTGCGCGCCGTTTGTGAGGCCTGGCGGGTGGCTTATTGGGAGCACCATTGCACGGACGTGGACGAGCTGGTTCACGACGAACCTGATTGCTGAGGATATACTGGGTATTGTGCCCAAGGGCACTCACGATTGGCGCAAGTACATCAATGATGACGAGCTCAAGGGCATGTTTATGGGGAAGGGCTGGGAGATGCCGCGAGTTATGGGGGTTGTGTACGTTCCTGGGCTCGGGTGGAGGGAGGTCAAGGGCAGCGAAAAGGTTGGCAACTACTTTTTCGGCGTGAGGCGGGCAGCGTGAACTTGTTCACCTGTAATGTACGAAAAGAGGGTTGCGTGTGTAAAAGTAACTGTATACTAATGGGCACCGGTGATACCCCCTTACTTAGAACTAGCTATACGGGGCGAATTGACCATTTCAAAAAACCGCATCTAGTACGCGGCAGGTTCCAAAGCATATGCTTTTTCGTGCGGGTATGAGAGTTGTGGCTGGCGAGGGGTCACGTTGATGGACTGCTGAGTGACGCCTGGCGCTACAAGTCAAAGTAACGGGTGGCAATGTATTGGTCTCTCTTGAGGTTCGAGGCTGTGGTGGACGTTGAACGTCGTGTCAGGATTCATCAGATGTCAGAAGAAGGCGTTTGGCCACGAGCTGGTAGCCAGGGATCAGTCAGTCTCCGTAGTGCATCACGAAATGGGTCGTTTGTCATTCGTATACCGATCTTTGACCTTATTCCTGCTTCATCCGCGTGATGTCATAGGAGCTACATCGTACATTTACAACTAAAACCTAGAGAAGCACGTGAACTCATGGACCTTACAATTGCAACTGCAAGGTAGTTTGGTTAGTGGGTCTTACAATTGCCAGGAGAGCAAGTGCAGCATCTCCGTCTCGATGTCGTATGTTTAGGGAGCGAAGGAGCCTGCCCAATCAAATCTGGCTCAAATGAAATAAAACTATGCTTATCTGCCGCATAGAAATGATAGCGGAACCCCGTCTCTCTTTCTCCTAGGAGACCCAAAACATGTCTCCCCACACATTGTTCCATATCCTCATTCGTTGGTGGTTTCGGGAGACTAAGGTAGAAGAGGGTGGTGTCTCTTTCTCCGCGGCGCAACGAGAGCCGCCCGCTGTGGGTCATAATGCGACACTTCTGATTCGTCCGTTATTCTCTTATCATCCGATGGTCTCCCACCTCGTTATCAAGTCACTCGACTTGAAGGCCGTACAATTGCTCGATGGTAATACCTACCCGTGCCACCACAAAGTACTTTGACCCCAAACTCTATGGAAATCCAAACCGTGGAGATGCTCAATCAGATGTCATCGTCCCAGCTCTACAGCCAATCAGCGCTCGTCGCTCTTGGGCACCTCTGGCTGCTCGTCCGTCTCGCCGGAGATGCTGATCCCAGCGGATCAAGCTTGCACTGACTTCATTGTGCGCCGAGGGAGAATGATGCGTCTTTTATGATGGCCTAATGAACTCGACAACCGCTGCTAGTCGCTTGAGTAGGGAGTCTCTATTGTTTCCTCGTTTCCTCCTTTCGATTCTCCTCCGCTCTCCGAGTGTACTCTTTCTGGTTATCGTGTCTCGTTGTAATCTGCATCTTCAACATGGCTGAACGAAAGAGACTCGTCGTTGTCGGCCTGGGAATGGTCGGCATCGCCTTCATGTGAGTGACGCGAGCCACTACGTGCTGTGATCTACCAACTAACTGTTCCAAGTGAGAAGATGCTGAAATTAGATGCCCGCGCAAACGAGTACAGCATCACGGTTCTCGGAGAGGAACCTCACCTTGCATATAACCGCGTTGGCCTGACGAGCTTCTTTGACCACCGCAAAGTCGAGAATCTCTACCTCAACCCAGAAGAATGGGTACGTCCAGACGTCATTCATCCTCATACTGGTGTCTTTTGCTGATTCCTTGACCAGTACCATAGCACGCCTCAAGGCTCTTTGGGATACCATGTCAACACCAGAGTCACTGACATTGACTCCCAAGCCAAAACGGTTACCTGCTCGAATGGAGAAGTTGTATCGTACGACATTCTAGTCATCGCCACCGGCTCAGATGCCGTTCTTCCCAAGCACACACCCGGGCACGACGCAACAGGCGTATTCGTGTACCGGACGATAGACGACCTTATCAACCTCATCGCGTTTGCCGCTCAAAGGAAAGGCACCGTGGGGGCGGTCGTCGGTGGTGGTCTCCTCGGTCTGGAGGCTGCCAAGGCGATGATGGATCTGGACTGCTTCGACAAGGTGAAGCTGATTGAGAGGAATCGGTGGGTGTTGAGCCGACAACTAGACAACGACGCCGGATCCATGGTCGTGGACCAGGTCAGAGACCTCGGTCTCGATGTGCTACTCAGCAAGCGCGTGGGCAAGATTGAGGTGACAAGTGACAACCACGTCCAGGGTGTCGTCTTCGAGGACGGTGAGCGCATGGACTGCTCCACGATATGTTTCGCCATTGGTGTACGGCCACGAGACGATCTGGCGAGGAGAGCAGGCATCAAGTGTGCCGACCGTGGCGGCGGCATCATTGTTGGGGATGATTTGAGCACCAGCGCACCAGACATCTACGCCATTGGGGAGTGTGCAAGCTGGCAAAGTCAAACATTTGGCTTAATTGCACCCGGAGTCGAGATGGCCGACGTTCTTTCCTTCAACCTCACACAAGCCAAGCTACACCAGCCCCGATTATTCAAGAGACCCGACCTTAGCACAAAACTGAAGCTTCTGGGTGTTGATGTTGCCAGCTTTGGCGATTTCTTCGCCGATAGAGATGGCCCGCAATATCTGCCTCCCAAAGCGGCAAGGAAAGCAAAAAAGGACTACGAGCAGAGCACCATCAAGACCTTGACAAACGGCCTACCACCGGCCCCTGTCAAGGCCCTCACATACCGCGATCCGTTCCAGAACGTGTACAAGAAGTACATTTTCACCGAAGACGGCAAGTACCTGCTGGGTGGCATGATGATTGGCGATACAAAAGACTACATCAAGCTAGTGCCCATGGTCAAGAACATGAAGGAGCTGGACATGCCGCCCAGCCAACTAATCCTCGGTGCCAAAAAGGAGGGCGAAGACGACGGCGACGACTTGACAGACGACACTCAGATCTGCTCATGCCACAACGTGACCAAAGGCGATGTGGTCAACAACGTCAAGGACGGGACCTGCAAGACGCTCGGCGAAGTCAAGGCGTGCACCAAAGCCGGCACAGGCTGCGGCGGCTGCATGCCCCTCGTGACGACAATCTTCAACAAGACCATGCTGTCCATGGGCAACGAGGTCAAGAACTACCTGTGCGCCCACTTCAACTACTCCCGTGCCGACCTGTATAACATCATCCTCGTCAAGAAGCTGCAGACATTTGAGGATGTCATGCGTGAGGCCGGCAACGACCGGACCTCTCTCGGTTGCGAGGCGTGCAAGCCTACGATGGGCAGCATCTTCGCCTCCCTATGGAACCGCCATGTCATGGATAAGCCAATGCATGGTCTTCAGGAGACCAACGACCGCTTTCTCGGCAACATCCAGCGCAACGGCACATACAGCGTCGTCCCGCGCGTGTCTGCCGGGGAGATCACGCCCGACAAGCTCATCGCCATTGGTAACGTGGCGTCCAAGTACAAACTGTACACCAAAATCACCGGCGGGCAGCGCATCGACATGTTTGGTGCCAAGAAGCAAGATCTCTTGGACATTTGGCGGATGCTGGTCGAGGCCGGCATGGAGTCCGGGCACGCGTACGCCAAGTCGCTGCGTACGGTCAAGAGCTGCGTGGGTACGACGTGGTGCCGGTACGGCGTCGGCGATAGCGTGGGCATGGCGGTGCGGTTGGAGGAGCGGTATAAGAGTATTCGCGCGCCGCACAAGATCAAGGGCGGCGTCAGTGGGTGCGTCCGCGAGTGTGCCGAGGCGCAAAACAAAGAGTGCGTTGACTGAAAACCCTCATCCTGCAATCAAGGACCTGCTAACCTGTTACCTCAGCTTCGGTCTCATTGCCACAGACAAGGGTTTCAACCTCTTCGTGGCCGGCAACGGCGGCGCCAAGCCAAAACATTCTGAATTGCTGGCCAAGGACGTCCCGCCCACCGAGGTCATCCCCATCATCGATCGCTACCTCATGTTCTATATCCGCACCGCCGACAGACTCCAGCGGACGGCACGCTGGCTCGAGAACCTCCCCGGTGGCATCAGATATCTCCAAGAAGTCGTCTTGGAGGATAAGCTCGGCATCTGCGCCTCGCTCGAGGCCCAGATGCAGGAGCTCGTCGACAGCTTCTTCGACGAGTGGGCCGAGGCCATCAAGAACCCGGCCATTGCCGCGAAGTTCAAGCAATTTGACAATACGGAGGAGACGCTCGAGAATATGGAGGTCGAGCTCGACCGCGACCAGCCGCGGCCGGTGTTCTGGGCGCCTGAATCCGCAAAGGAGGACTTTAAGGGTTTGAAGGAGAGGTGGAGCAGTACAACCTGGCAGCCCATGCTACCGGCGAGTCACTTCTTCGGGGCGGATGAGACGCCTAATGGTATCTCGGCGACGGTGAAGCGCGGGGATACGCAGCTTGCTGTGTGGCGGGTGAGGGGGCGGTATTATGCTACGCAGCAGATGTGTCCTCACAAGAGGCAGTTTGTGCTGTCTGACGGGCTCATCGGCGAGGAGCCTGGCGCCGCGGAGACGTGCGATGATGCGAAGAAGCCTGATTCCGGATGTAACGGCGGTCCCGACACCAACGGCAGCGGCGGTAACGAGGCAAAGAAGCGGCCGGCTCCGTGGGTCTCCTGCCCGTACCACAAGCGCAACTTTGACCTCGCGGACGGGAGCTGCAAGAACGACGAGGAGGTGAGCATCGCGACGTTTGCTGTAGAGGAGCGTGCGGGCGACGGGATGGTGTACCTTAAGCTGCCGCCCGTCGAGGAGCTCGATGCGGCGCTGGGGACGAAGAAGTGGATGGTGAAGAAGGGGGAGGCCGGGGCGGCACCGTTTGAGGCGCTGGATAAGAAGATTCGGTTCAAGGGGCACCGGGCCAAGAGGCCAGGCGTCAAACCGATGGGGGCTTTGGGGATGGAGAAGGCGAGGACGATGGTTGTTGCTGGTGGGGGTGGGTGCGGGAGCGCGCCGGACTGGTAATGACTTACTTGTGATGGACGCTGTGAGGCTATGGATACGGCGTTTGCTTCTCGACAGATGGGAGAAGATGGGGTATATATGCATCGGGCGGTGCTTTGGTATGAGTGATTACAGAGGCAAACATGAGCGATTTTGATCTTGAAAAAAATGAAAATGGATTGGTGATTAAGACTCTTGCCCTCCTGTTTTAGATGGTGTTATACTACACATTCTCACACACTAGAATATGAATCTCTCCACCCATTTTAGGTGCCTCTGTCCGTCTCCCTATCCGTACCCTTGGCTCCACACACCAGCGGGCGGGGCACGGAGCAGCTGGCACGCGGCGTGAAAGTGGGACCGGTCGTTATCCGGGCAGACCTCTCCGGCGCCGTCCTCTCACCTTCCGCCTCAGGCAAAGTGATATTCAGACGATATTCCAACTACAACTTTGAACCATGTGACGATTATCCACACCCAATTGACTGCTCGATTCAGGCAGCACTGGACGTTTCGTCAATCTACTAGGTATCTGGTCAAGGGACAGAAGAAAGCGGACCGGGGAAAGTTCGGAAGCGATTTCCATAGAACGCTGCAACTCCACTTCACTTCATTCTCACCTCCTACCACTTTCATTCTCATCCATCTCATCTGCCAACTTTTGTCATCTCATCACTGCGGAACGCCTAGACATTCAATACGGATCAATAACCTCCCAGACCTATTCTCTAACCTCGTCCACAACTCAGTTTCACCACCATTCACAACCCCCGCCAAAAATGGTTCGCCACGACCCCAACGCCAACCACCCAGTCGGCCTCCTCATCGAGCCAAACTCGGACGGCTATGTCGTCCGCCGCTTCCCCCACGACCACACAGATCTCTACGGCGAGAACCCAGCCGATCTAGAACTCCCCGGCTCCCACGGCCCCTTCAACCTCGTCCACGTACGCTGCCACAATGCCCTCAGAACGACCACCATGGGCAGCACCAACGTCACCGTACGCACCATCCAACTCGGAGATGACGACGACGCGCTCGAGGTGGCACTCGCTCACCACACAGACTCCCTCGTCATCGCCGTCCACGGCGCCTGCCCGCCCCAAAATAACTCAGACCAGCCACCCACCAGATCCGCCGTCGGCGTCCACCTCGGCCCCGGTAACCCCCTCAACCGCGCCTGCCGCATCCCGGACGCCAAAGACCGGGGCCACGTCATGAAGGATACCGACGGCAGCGACAGCCGCGACCGTCCGCAGCACACGCAGCAGCGCGCGGACCTCTACGCCGCCATTGCGGGGCTCATGGAGGCGACTACGATTGCCACACGGGGCCTGCCCGCCCGCGGGACGCGATCGCAGCCAAAGCCGTTCAAGTTACACCATGTCGTCGTCAAGAGTGACTCGGCGTACGTCGTCGAGGGCGTCGCGGGCGGCAGGAATGGGGAGCCGCCGCACATGAACAAGTGGCTTGCCAACGGGTGGAAGAACACAAAGGGCGAAAAGGTCAAGAACGAGGATCTGTGGGATAATTTGATGCTCACCATGATGTCACTGGGTCAGGTGGGCGTGGCGGTGGAGTTTTGGCAGGTGCCCAAGAAGGAGAATAAGGAGGCCGACAAGCTTGCGAAGCTTGGGCTCGAGCAGGAAGTTAACTTCTTTGACGAGAAGAGTGTCTTTGGCAAGGAGGATCACAGCAAGAAGGCGGATGCTGTCGGTGATGAGTTGGTTGCGATGGAATGATGATTACACTTGCAATTTGATGTGACTAGATTTGTAACATTTGTGGCGCAGAAAAGGCGGGTTGGATGACCATTGACTTATGTCATATTAGAGTATTCAGTGCCGGAAAGCAGTAGAATTGCTTCCGGAGAGCGGGAGGACCTCAATCACAGGCGTCTCGAAAATCTCCCAGTTATCCGACGCCTTGGGGTTACCAAAGGCCTTCAAAGCCGCGATACGCCACCTAGTTTGTGAGCGTTAGTCTCTGCGGCCACATGGAGTATAAGAAATATCAGATGAATTACGACTTACTTATACTTCCCAGGCTTAATCTGGCTTCCGTCAGCCAGCTTGCCGAGCCACCACGACTCGTACGGCGAGTCGCGAGACTGGTCCTGCAGGGGGTACGAGACGGTGTTGTTCACGCTGTCGGTTGCCGGGTCGAAGACGGGGTAGTTGACGCTGTTGTAGACGTCGAAGCTGGCGACGGAGCCGACGTACTTGTTCTCGCCGACCACGGGAGGGTATACCCATTCGCGCTCTTGGTAAGTGGGTTCATAGACCTACGGAGATTTCAGGGTCAGTAATCTTTGAGGTGTTGATAGGAGGTGCAATGCTTGCTTACATCCCAGCGAACCTGGCGGGAGCCCCAGGTCAAAGCGACTTGAAGTCTGACAAAGTCTTGCTTGGCGAGTGTGAGGTCAAAGGTGAAGCTATCGTTGGGTAAGTCTGTTGTCTCCTTTAGTTGTATACTTGGAAACATACCTAGACTTCTCGGAGAGCAGCGTCCGGTTGACACCAGACGAGACACGAGGGTATCCGTAGGAAGTGTAGAACATATCAGCAATGTCATGTTTGATGCTACCGCCAACACCTTTGAACGCTTGTTAGAGAAGATCTCGTTCAGGGGAAGGAAGCCAAGTCATACCATAGTAGGGCACCGAGAGCACATCGCCAGCGCTCGATCCAATGAGGATCTTGCCGCTGAAGACAGGGAGTCTCGAAGCGTCGAGCCCTTGCGGAATGTCAAAGGAGAACCTGCGTCTTTATGTTAGCCACGGCTCTCTACATTCAGCCTTCAAGAGGAAAACTCACTTTGCAGTCCTCGTCTGCCCAGGCCCAACCTTGAACCCGCCCACTGGCAACCCGACAACAGCCGCAATCTTGACCGGCTCAATCTCAACAAGATCCTTAATCCGCGGCACCGCCAAGATCCCCGCATCAGCAGCCTCAGCAGTCCAATACGCCTCAAACCCAGCAGCATCCTGCACCGTAAAGATATACTCCAGCTCCGTCGGACCGGTATTGGTGACATCCACCTGGTGGTACCGCGAGAAATGATGCGTGTCATTCAACGCAAACTTGGTCTCCCCAGACAACTGCGAGGTAGCATTCAACACGGAAACAGCATCAATCAACCCGCTACCGACCTGGATCGGCGGCGCCCAGAACCCGAAATCCTTGGTCGTGCCATCGGACCACGGTATCGCCCTTCCCGAGGCCACGATCCGCGCGTGCAGCGCTTTTGCGAAACCCGCGCCGTGGACGGAGCGGCCTCCATGCGCGGAGATATACAACGCCGCGACGCCGGCAACATACGGACACGCCATGGACGTGCCGGACAGATCACGGTAACGGTGCCCGATATACGGCGCAAAGATGCGTCCCCCCGGCGCCGTGACGTCGGGCTTGAGCTCCAGGTCAAAGGTGCCACCCCACGAGGTGAACTGCGAGGGTTTCCCGCCGCCGGCATTGTACATGGCGACGTAGTTGCTGCTCTGGTCCAGGGAAAAGTCGGCCGTGACGTTGCCGCCGGCGATGACCGTCTTGACTATGGCCTCGCCTGCGTCCTTGGATAAGAGGCCCCATTTGCTCTGCGCCCAGCCGGAGCCCGAGAAGCCGACGACGGGCCTGTCGGTGAGATAGAAGAGCATGAACCGCGCGCCGCGCTCCTGGACCCATCGCTGCCTGACATAATCCTGGCATCCTTCGTCGAACCGCACGAGCGGGATGGTATTCGTGAAATTCAGACCCTCGGGCAGGGGCGAACAGGCATCGTTCTCGACGCTGATGTTGAGCGTGACGGGGACGATGGGCCACCCCAGAATCTCGGCGGGGAACAGCTCCTCGGCGGGACGGTAACCGAGGATGGTGCGGTTGGACTGGCCGTCGAGGGTGAAGGTAGCCGCAAACTGGCGCGCCGAGACGATGGAGGCGTCGGCGGAGCCAATGGCGAGCACGTTTTTGCCGGCGGCACCGCTGCTGGGGAAGAAGGGCCCGACGTCGCCCGAGTTGCCGGCGGCGATGGTGACGACGACGCCCTGCTCTACAATGCGCGAGGCCACGAGGGCCCAGGCGTTGTCGGACCAGCCGCCGGTGGAACCGACGGAGGCGGTGATAATGTCGACGCCGTCGTCGTAGGCGCGAAGGAAGGCTTCGATTAGGACCTCCTCTGCTGTGCCCTCCTGAAGTTGGTTTTAGTGAGATCAAGGGACGGGGAAGCCAGACTTGAGTAACTTACATTAGGGCCGAAGACCTTGTAAGAGTAGATCGTGGCTTCAGGGGCAACTCCAATGAACCTATTGGCACGTTTAGCTGAGGTCTTCTCTCTTCAGGGTAGCTTTGGATGGTATATCATACTCAGAGCTCTTGCCAGCAATGATGCCAGCCACATGCGTTCCATGGCCAGCTTGGTCCATGGGATCCTCATCAGGTTGACGTTCCGCACCGGGGTAAGGCCAGTACGCTGCAAAAGTTAGTTCCGTCATCAGCTCGTCGTTTAGTCATGAACTCACTATCATCACCAACAAAGTCGTACCCAGCGGCAACCTTACACCCCTCACCAAAGCAGCCACCAAGCTATCCATCTCTCGTCAGTATCATACCCCTCAACCACCAAACCCACCAGAAACCAGACCAGAAAACTCACAGCAGGATGCGTATACTCCGTCCCCGTATCAACAACGCCAACCTTGACGCCCTTCCCAAAGATCCCCTGCTCATGAAGCTTATCCACCCCCGTCATCCAGTGAATAGAATAATTCAGCGCCCCCGCATCATCGCTGAAAGACTCGCCCGCCACAACGGGAGCAAGCTGGATGCGCGTAGAGTGCCAAGCCTTCACGACGGGCAAGATCGCCTCAAGCGAGTCCGTGTTCTCACTATCCGACTCGACGGCGATGCCATTGAAGAGGGCCGAGTCAAAGACCTTGAGGATCTTGCTGCCGGGGTTATTGGTCTGGAGCTGCTGGACTACGGCATCCTTGTCGGCTCCCTATCAAGTGTTCATGGCGTGTTAGCATTATTTGACCTGGGGTTGGTATTCTCTTTGGGGAGAAAAGGGAATGACGAACCTGCTCAAGCTCAAGAATGAACTTCTTGGGCGCGACGGCCGTGTCGTTGGAAGGACGAGCATCCTCGTCGACGGCGCGCCGGGAAACTCGTGCTGTTCCCGCGCCGGCCAAGGCCAAGACGGAGACGAGGGCACTCGCGACACGCATGGTCGATCAGCCAAAAAGACGAATGTGTAAACCTCAAAACGAAAACGATCGTGCAAAAAGACCCAGTCAGTCCCTGGCTGTCTCTCGCTTCAGCACCCACGATATAACTCGCCGGGTATTCGAGAGCCTTTATGAGAGTGAGCGGTCGGTGAGCCATCCCCCTTCGCTCTCGCGTGATACCATGGGACCTGTTGACGATCTCGTATCGAGAATGTCGACACCACGACATGCCATGTAACTCAGTATGAAGAACCCCGGTCTCCCGTCCTTATTCGGCAGTCATCGCAGCGACATCTCCACCCCTGAGGCGACCTCACCGTGGAAGCCAAGCAACGGCGGTCCACATCTGGCCATGGCGTCCAACACCCAAATCCTATGTGTCATTCCGTACCTTGCATCGCACCTGCCATCTTGAGCTTGGTAACCTAAACCTTCACTCTATTCCCGCGCATATCTTTAATTTTCGGTATGCACGCTAGGGATGCGCATCTTCGTATTCTGGGAATCCCGGGGGTAATAGTCAGAAGAACAGAAGAATCATCGGCCGGCGGGCTACGGAGTCCGGTAGCTATCAGCTACTATCGCGAGAACCGCGCTTCGAATGCCAAGTCTCTTCGGATGAGTGGTGCCAGAGTTGCAGCTAACTTCGGAATGATCCGTGGAGTATTATTAGGCGATTGATGCTCGTATGAATGATGATCCCACCTACCCCGCGGCGGGTAAACCTACATGCCAATGAAGGTCAGTTAAAAACTTGGATAGCAGCGTAGATGGATGGGTGTACGGATACTTACATGCTGGGACTCCTACGGCGAGCAGATGGTTCAATCTGCAAGTCACGGGTCGGGCACAGCAAATGCAGAGGGGACTCAAGCGAAGTGATTGCAAGGTATTATTCATGATTCGAGAATAAGTAAAAAAGAGCGAGGACATAGCGTGAGTCTAAATCTAAATGTTTTCCATGAGCGTTGTTGCCGTCAAAGATTGGTTTTCGCTTCCCAACCTCCCGCCTCTCCCTGTATCTCTCAACAAGACCAGAGAGAGGCGGATATGTATTTTGTAAAGAGAATGAAAAATAACATGCAAAGAGACGGAGGCTTTTTCCGCCCCTCGTTCCTGTTTCCCCCTTTTGGCTATGCGGGCGCTCGCGCGAGAGAGGCAATTCGTAGACCATGAACGAACGCTTTTGTTCAAACACGATAGTTATGTGTGTGTATATAAAAAGGAAGTTATACATCATTATACAACCAAAATAGGCCCCATGTGTCGGAAGTGAACCGGACCCCTGACCCCCAAGACCAAACGTGACAAGAGAGGCGCGGCGCGGCGCGGCGCTGTTTGTTTTGCGGCGCAAAGCGCATCGCGGCCTCCGGGTATTTGTGTTTTTTGTTTCGCATCGCAGTAATATTTGCATGATCCATTTAAGGCTTTGATACCTGCTCCTTTCTGAAGAACTTGAAGAAGAGGATCGGGATCACCAGCTGGAAGCCCAGGCAGATCCAGAACCAGTAACTTGAGACTCCGGGCATCAGGCCCTGGGAGAAATCAGGGAAGGTAGTGTTGGGCGAGAGAGCATTGGGACTCGTCGCGCGCGCCAGCATTGTGAAGGCACTGCCCACAATTTGTGCGCCAATGAGGACGGCCAACACGTGCTGGCGAGTCAGCGTCGCGAGCAGCATCATACCCAGACCGACACCCTGGATGTTGTCCAAGAGGCCGAGCCACAGCCACAGGCAGCGAGACAGGATGGCCGAACCAACGGGGCCACCAGCCCAGGGAAGATACATGCCCATGCTGCTGGTACCCCAG